TGTGTGAACATAAACATGTGTTGTGTGTCAGGTGCTGTGTGTCGGGCAGATGGTGTGTGCTGTGGTGGCAGATACTAAAGCTCACGCTAAAAGAGGAGCAGCCGTTGTGAGAGTCCAGTATGAAGACCTGCCTGACCCCATCTTCACCATCGAGGTCCCGCTCTGCATTTATGACACTATTGGGACTTGAACACAAACTTAGATTAGTGTAAGTGACTTGTGTTGAACCTCAGGAGGCCATAGAGAGAGCGTCATTTTACGAGCCTAGGAGGAGCCTTGAACGAGGGAATGTGACTGAAGCCTTCAGAAGCGTGGATCACATTTATGAAGGTTTGTGAAACAGCATCAGACTCAGGAGGAGGAGAGCAGGGCCTGACTCTGCTGTGTTCAGGGGGCATCCGTCTGGGGGGGCAGGAGCACTTCTACATGGAGACCCAGAGCACCCTGGTGGTCCCATTGGGGGAGGAGCAGGAGTTCCACCTCTACGTGTCCACACAGTGGCCCACAAGCACACAGGTGTGCAGCACACACACTTCTGTTACATCATGTGTGTGTGTGTTATGTGGCTGTGTGTTGTGCAGGTGGCAGTCGCAGAGACTCTGTCCATCCCGTCCAACAGAGTGGTGTGTCATGTGAAGAGGCTGGGAGGAGCCTTTGGGGGAAAAGTCACCAAAACTGCCATCCTCACGTCCATCGCGGCTGTGGCAGCCTGGAAGTAAGACTCCAGCTTCACAGGAGCTCCCAGTGCAGAACATGGCCTTCAGACTCACACTGTGGTCATATGTGTTTTATGTTTCAGAACAAACCGAGCGGTCCGCTGTGTGCTGGAGCGTGGAGATGACATGCTGATCACAGGAGGGCGCCACCCGGTGGTGGCCAAGTACAAGGTGGAGCTGCTGTTTCTTTAACCCTTGTGTTGCCCTCGAGCAACTTTGAGCCCCGAAGGAGGAGGACGCCATTTTGACCTGAGGGTAGCACAATGTACTTGTTACTTTTCTAACATTTGGATGAATTTTCAGGTTGGATTCATGAATGACGGCAGAATCATTGCTGCTGATCTGGAGTATTTTGCCAACGCTGGGTTCTCTGCAGATGAATCTCCTGTGGTGGGTCTGGAATTGTTGAAATATCACTTATTCTGTTCAATGAAAGCCTCACAGACCAGGGGTGAAAATGTCTTTATTCAGAAGTGTTATGCTCTGTGATTTGAATAGATAGGGGAGAAAATTGTCCTACACATGGACAACGCCTACAACATCCCTCACCTGCGGGGCTCAGGGACCGTGTGCCGCACAAACCTCCCGTCCAACACGGCCTTCAGAGGCTTTGGCGTGCCCCAGAGCATCATGGTGATGGAGAACATGGTGACTGATGTTGCCATGGCGCTGGGCATGCCCGTGGACAAGGTACCTCTAAACTTATGAACTCACTGCTACAACTGAAAAATAATTAACACAACACCTGATGAATAGGTGCGTGAGCTGAACATGTACAGAGGCCCCTCCCTCACACATTACCAGATGGAGTTCAACGCTGAGAACCTGCATCTCTGTTGGGACGAGTGCAAGAGGAGGAGCGACTTTGAGGCCCGCCGTCGCGCTGTGGAACAATTCAATAAACAAAACCAGTGGAAGAAAAGGGGCGTGGCCATCGTACCCATTAAATATGGCATTGCGTTTGCAGAATCCTTCTTGAACCAGGTCCGTGTTCATCAGAGGTAGAAGGTCTTTGTTTATGGAGGCTACAGACAAAACACTGTTTTTGCCACAGGCGGCGTCTCTGGTCCACATCTACAGCGACGGCTCGGTGCTGGTGGCTCACGCTGGGACAGAGATGGGACAGGGCATACACACTAAAATGCAGCAGGTATTAAAGCCACCGCTCTCTTCATTTACTGTTTCAACACAAATCTGTAAAAGAGATGAGAGAAGAAACGGGTTCCTTTTCCACAGGTGGCCAGTCGGGAGCTGCACATTCCCATCTCTAAGATCTACATCAGTGAGACCAGCACCAGCTCCGTCCCCAACACCTGTCCCTCCGCTGCGTCCTTTGGCACCGACGCCAACGGAATGGCTGTGAAGGTCACACTGCTCCAGTCTCTGCTTTGATCCCAGTAAAAGAAGAATACACCGTTACATTCTGCTTTGATCATATGTTGTAGGACGCCTGTCAGATCCTGTATCAGAGACTTAGGCCTGTCATGCAGAAGAACCCTGAAGGATCATGGGAAAGTTGGGTACGGATTGATTTATGTAGAAAAAGACTTTAAATGAAACTGGTGCAAACAGTGAACTTTGAGCTCTTCAGCTTAGAGCAAGCTCTAAAGAACGAGTTCAGTCAGAGTCTAGAATAATCTGCTCTGACCTCACACACAGATGTGTGACGTCACTCACAGATGTGTGACTCACAGATGTGTGACGTCACTCACAGATGTGTGACGTCACTCACAGATGTGTGACTCACAGATGTGTGACGTCACTCACAGATGTGTGACGTCACTCACAGATGTGTGACGTCACTCACAGATGTGTGACTCACAGATGTGTGACGTCACTCACAGATGTGTGACGTCACTCACAGATGTGTGACGTCACTCACAGATGTGTGACGTCACTCACAGATGTGTGACGTCACTCACAGATGTGTGACGTCACTCACAGATGTGTGACGTCACTCACAGATGTGTGACGTCACTCTCAGATGTGTGACGTCACTCACAGATGTGTGACGTCACTCTCAGATGTGTGACGTCACTCTCAGATGTGTGACGTCACTCTCAGATGTGTGACGTCACTCACAGATGTGTGACATCATTGCTGACCTCACGTTGTTTTGGACGTGTCCTTTAGTTTAGAATGTTCATCTTGTCTTTCTAGATTCAGTTATTTGGTTCTTTTACAGCAGACTAATGTCTTACATTTGTCTGGTGCAGAAGAACCAAAAAACTTGTCCTTAAGGTGGTCGTGCTTTAAGCACCTGTGAAGTCTCAGGTTTGACTTGGGTTTTTATGGTCTCAGGTGAAGGCGGCCTTCTTTGATAAGATCAGCCTGTCTGCCACTGGATACTACAGGTATGAGCCCCATGTGTCAGAGGTTCTGTGGGTAACTGCTGACAGTGACTGTGTGCAGAGGGCCGGACACATACATGGACTGGGAGCAGATGGAGGGGAGGCCGTACTCCTACTTCACATACGGAGTCTGCTTCAGTGAAGTGGAGCTGGACTGTCTGACCGGGGACTACAGAGTAAGACCTCTTCTTCCTCTCAGATACATGTGACTGTGTAGATGCAGTAAAGAGTGTGTGGTGTGCAGACGCTGAGGACAGATATCGTGATGGACATCGGCAGAAGCATCAACCCCTCTGTGGACATCGGACAGGTCTCTCTCTCTCCTGTCTCGCTCTGGTCACAGTAGAATCAGATCCATGTTTGTGATGTTTGCAGATCGAGGGAGCGTTCATGCAGGGCCTGGGCTTGTACACTTTGGAGGAGCTGAAGTTTGGTCCTTCTGGGCTCCTGTACACTCGAGGACCATCTCAGTACAAGATCCCTGCGCTGTGTGACATGCCTCTGTCCTTTAACGTATACCTGCTGCCGGACTCTGACAACCCCCACGCCATCTACTCCTCTAAGGTCAGCCACGTCACACACACTTCTGAAACACATGTGTGTGACGTGTGTGTCTCCTGCAGGGCATCGGAGAGCCAGCCGTGTTCTTGGGAAGTGCCGTGTTCTTTGCCATTAAAGACGCCGTGTCCGCAGCGCGCTCAGACTCAGGTCTGTCCGGTCCCTTCTCTCTGGACAGTCCGGCCACAGCGGAGCGCGCCTGCCTGGCTGCTGCCTTCACATTCACCCACAAGGTCCGGACACTGACCACACTTTGTTTAATTCACTCATATTTATGACTTTTCTTTGGTGCAGGTCCCAGTCTGTGAACCAGGATCCTTCAAACCCTGGGCCTTGGAAATCTGAGACACTGACATCGGCCTTTTTGATACAATCTTTTTACACTTATCTGATTTCTCTGTGTCATTTTTTATATCCAATTATATTCAAAAGCAACATTCTTTTGTATTAAAATCCGCAGCAAAAACCTAAATGACGAAGCTTAAAGAATGTACCGCGCTGAAGAATCATGTTTGTACAGATCTTTCAATACAACTAAGTTTATTCTACTTTTTCATACATATATTATGACAACCTTACACACAATGTAAGGTTTACCACGTCATGTTGTGGCTATATCCAAATGTGGTCGTGGCTATATTGTAAAGAGTTTCTGATGAAGCTTTTACTTGTTTGGTGTCTGTGGTTCTCAGAAACTGCAGATCTGTGACTCTGAAAACGGACGATAAAAACAGCAGTTGTTACCGGTGCTGATAGTTTGAAAACGGTGAATTCCAAGGATCTTGTGGGACATTGGCTGCGTTGAATTCCATTTAATGTATTTCTGTATCAAAGGAAACTATAAAAACCTGTATAACCTAAAATACCAAATATGATGATGGTGCTGATCCAGGACATTTATTAACATTTATTAACGTTTGTGGACATTGGACCAATGCCTCTGTGTTTTTTATCATTGCATTTCTTGTGTCTGATCTGTGTCTGATTTGACAGTCTTGTTAAGTCCTCTGAGATTACTACTGTTGTGATTTAGGTCTGTACAAAAATACATTGAATTGTTGCATTAATAAAATAACGCTGTCATTGTAGAAGGATTTGTTTTTAATCTTGAATGTGGTGCTTGGAACTATACTGTGTTTTATTGTTGTAGGTTCCCTCCCATGTACTGCATATGTGATGTGTCTGTGAATGATTATCTGATCTGTTACTCAAAAGGTGAGGGTGGCATCCACATTCTTCCCTTCCTGACCCCGTTTTAGAGCCCATGACCTGCAGGTTGAAATTCCAGGTGGTTCAGTATTGTCTGATGCTGTGACTGCTCTTCACCAGTCCTCAGTCCTCAGTCCTGGTCCGAGATCAGCTTCAAACCGGCTCCATGTCTGCACCACAGTCCACTCTTCTCTTCTTTGTCAACGGAAAGAAGGTAAAACACAATCGGACTCAGACAAACACTAGGCCGGTCTCCTGTGTTAAGAATTTGACATGTGTTTACATTATTCTATTTTTTCTCTTAAAGACCTCGACCCCAAAAGTGCACACACAAAAGTTCAGATTCAGTTTGTTTACCTTTGCAGTAAAACCCCTTTGGAAAACATGTGCAAAAGTCCCCCGTGTGCACCAGACACGTACATTCATTAAACAGGCTAAAAGTACAGGAACAACACAAGCGAAAGAAGCTGTTAGCATATCCAGATGTCCCATATGGACAATATCTTCTGCCAGAGGGAAGAAGCTGGAACATGGCTTTCTAGGGGCAAGAAGACTCGTTGATTATTATACAATACAATAGAATGTATTCTTGTATAGCCCTAGGTCACAACAGTATCATCTCAGAGACTTAACAAAACCATTGAAATCACCAACACAGGTCAGAGAATCAACAGTTAAAACACATGAAGAATATAAAGCACACACAGAAGAAAATGTCCATACATGTTGTAGAATGCTAAAGTGTCCTGATCAGATTTTTTCAGATTCATTCAGATTCATTTATTTCGCCATTTGCAGTAACACTACATTGGAATACATTAGTAAAAGTTCCCAGTGTGCACAGGACAAGTACAGACATAAAACAACATTAAAAGACAAAAATAAAACAAATTTTAAAAACAGTAAACAAATGTCACTGTGAAGTCGACCAACTAAAACAGATCTATACAAGTGCAAAAACATTAAAGTGCCCTATTCAAACTGTTAACAGCTCGTGGAAAAAAACTATTAGCGTAACGAGATGTCCTGCATCTCAGAGAACAGTATCTTCTGCCAGAGGGAAGAAGCTGGAACAAGGCTTTTCCTGGGTGGCCAGAAGAGTCATTGATAATTCTCAGGGCACTGTTAAAAAGTCTGGATTGATAAAGAACCTCCAGAACAGGAAGTTCACAGCCCACGGTCCTCTTAGCAGAGCGGAGCACCTTGTTTAAAGCTCTCTTTTCTTTATCTGTGATGTTACCGAACCACACAGACACAGAACCAACAAGTAAACTCTCAATGGTGCAGCGATAAAAGTTCAGCAGAATCTTAGAGTTAGTGGTAAATTCTCTAAGTTTCCGCAGAAAGTAGAGACGCTGACGAGCTTTCTTTACGACCCGGTCAGTGTTTTTAACCCATTTCAGGTTAGACAGAGTTAGACCCAGAAACTTACTCCTCTACGATCTGCACTTGGGAGTTATCGATTGCGACAGGCAAATGAGAACTATTGCGACTAAAATCAAAGACCAGTTCACATGTTTTGGATGCGTTCAGCTGGAGGTTGTTAGCCTTACTCCACTGAACCACGTTTTGGATCTCGGCTCTATAAGACGATTCATCGTTATTACTGATGAGACCGATGATGGTGGTGTCATCAGCATATTTAAGGATCAGGTTGGAGTCAGAGGAGGACACACAATCGTGAGTGTACAGTGTAAAAAGTAAAGGACTCAAAATACATCCCTGAGGAGAACCAGTGCTCACAGAAACAACATCAGAAAAACAGTCATTGATTTTCACTCTCTGAGATCTGTCTGTTAAAAAGCTAAAAATCCATTTACACATGGCAACACTTAAACCGAGAGACACGAGCTTTTCAATCAGTTTACCTGGGACAAGGCAATTAAAAGCAGAGCTATAATCGATGAACAGCATTCTTGCAACAGATTTCCTATTGTCCAAGTGACTGTAGACAGAGTTCAGAGCAAAGGAGATGGCATCCTCCACACTCCTGTTCTGTCTGTAGCAAACTGGAGCGGGTCAACACTCACAGGGATCTGGCTCTTAATGAAGTCCAACACAAGCCGCTCAAAAGTCTTCATTAGGACAGAAGTGAGGGCCACAGGGCGGTAGTCATTAAGGCATGTCACAGGAGTTTTCTTAGGAACTGGGATAATGGTCGACTCTTTGAAGCAGTTCGGCACAGTACAGTTCCTTAGCGACAGGTTAAAAATGTCTGTTAGCACAGGGGCAAGTTGCTCAGAGCACAGTTTCAGGACGCGAGGAGGGATGCCGTCCGGGCCAGGGGCTTTCCGGACAATGGTACTGGACAAGACCCGCTGGACTGCCTCCTGAGTCACGGTGAACGCACCTTGATTGAGGCAATCAGGAAAGACAGTAGGACAGGCATCAGCAGATTCAAAGCGACAGTAGAACGTGTTCAGCTCATTAGGCAGAGCTGGGCCGACAGATCCAATTTTCCCAGCACTAGGTTTCCAGGACGTGATGGCTTTAATACCGCTCCACATGCGCCGAGGGTCATCTTCCTTAAAATAACCCTTTAACCTGTCCCCGTAACTGCGCTTTGCAGATTTAATAGAACGTTTCAATGCGTAACAGGATAGCTTATAGGCAACTGTATCGTTAGATTGAAACGCCAGAACACGCTCATGAAGTTTTTGTTTCACTTCCGCGTTCATCCAAGGGTTTTGACTGAGATGTACTTTAATGACCTTCTGTGGGACACAGCCGTCAATACAGAAGCGTATGTATCCAGTCACAGCGTCACAGAATTCATTAACATCCTCTGATTGAAACACAGACCAGTCAGTGGCATTAAAACACCCTTGTAGCTTCATGCTAGCCTCCTCAGACCAACACTGCACAGTGGTTGGTTTATGTTCCCTGCTCCTCTGAGTGTATGAGGGAAGAAGGAGAACAGAGGAGTGGTCGGACTTTCCAAATGGAGGTCTGAGACTGGACCTGTAAGCTCCCTTCACATTGCTGTAGCAGTGATCCAGGATCTGTGCTCCTCTTGTAGCTCGAGTCACATGTTGGTAGAAATTTGGGAGTACAGTCTTTAAATTACATTTGTTAAAATCCCCAGCGACAATGATCACTGCATTAGGATGAGCAGTCTCGTATTTATGAAGGATCTCGCTCAGATCCTGTAGTGCTACAGTATAGTCCGCCCGTGGGTGGATGTAAACAGCGCATAAAAATATCACAGAAAACTCCCGGGGAAGATAAAAAGGGCGACAGCTCAAGACCAGGCATTCCAGATTGGCAGTACATGTTTGGTTCACGATGCGAGTATCCGTGCACCAGCGCTGATTAATTAAAAAGCACACAGCTCCACCTCTGGATTTCCCCGTGGTCTCCTTCACTCTGTCCGAGCGGTGAGCGGTGAATCCCGGGGGCTGAACAGCAGAGTCCGGGACGTTCGTGTGGAGCCACGTCTCGCTGAGACAGAACACAGCGCAGTCTCGGGCCTCTCGCTGGCACTGGATACGACACAGGAGCTCGTCCGTCTTATTGGGCAGAGACTGTACATTCGCCAGGTAGATGGAGGGCAGAGCGGTCCTGCAGGAGCGGCATCTCACGAGCAGACCGCCTCGTTTTCCCCGGTGTCTGCGCCTCCTTCGTCGGCTCCCGGTACCCAGCTCCACACCGCGGAGAGCACGATGGAGACGCCCAGTCCCCCCGCTCTGTTCGCGGCCATTGCCGCGGCCCGCCCGCCGTGTTTGACGGGCCTCACGAGTGGGGCACTCAATGAAATCCAAGCACCTCAGTTCGGGTAAGACCTGCGACACTCCGCAAGCTCGGTCCCGAATGTAGAGAAGTGTCTCTCGGTCGTACTTCACGGTGGCAAGTGTATCACAGACAAATATAAACAACATAGAACAGACAGTGCACACCAGAGCTCTTACTGAGGCGCCCTGACCCGGCACCATCTTGCTTCTTGCATTTTTTTTGATCATCACCAATCCTTTCTGTTGGACACTAACTGTCCAACAAGACCCTCCTGCATCCACAAGGAACAACTCTTAAAAAACCCAGTGGGAAAAAGTGAGAAACCTTGGGGAGCACTAGGGAAACCCACAGGGAGGGAGACCCATATGAGAAAGGGATCCGCTCCTCCGGACGGACAGGCTAATGATCTAGGACCTAAGCTAGCTACAGGACGTGGACCAGTGGACGCTGAACGTGGACAGGTCCGGTGCAGGACTGAAGCACTCCCAGGCGGGTCGGGCGGGGCAGTCCGCAGGTGTAGATGGAGGAGGCCATGCTCAGAGATCCCGTCATCGTACCATGAAACAGACAATGGGACAACGGGCGAATAGCAATGAACAAACTACAGTCAAAATCCTAAAAAATGCTAAACAGATAAAGTAGGAAGAAGGAGAGGATAGTGCTCAAGTTACCATACTTCTCCAGCAGGGGGCTCCCTATGCAGCTTGACTGACAGTCTGAGGAGTTTAGCCTTCCCAGAGTCTTACCTTCCTAGCCATATGCTAAACTAAAGAGGACTGTTTTAAACCTAGCCTTGAATAAAGAGAGCGTATCTGAAAGGAGGCGAGACAGCAGCAGCCACGGCTAGGCTAGCCCAGGCTACAGCGCCAAGATTCATGGATTGCACACCAGGTGTGCCAAACTGATCCAAGCAAACCTAATTATATATTATATATCATATACATCATATATACCATACATACCATATATATCATATATAATACATAACATAACATACAGTATAATATATAACATAATATACAACATAACACAATACATAACATAATACATATATTGTATAATATATAACATAATACAGCATATATGTATATATATATATATAATATATACACCATATATTATATATGACCTAATTATATGCTAAATTAAAGTAGAGTGCTTTAAGCCTGGCCTTGAATGTGGAGACCGTATCTGCTTCCTTAACATAAATGAAGCTGATTCCACAGTAAAGGAGCTTGGAGCTAAATGCTCTGCCACCAACAGTGACCTTTGAGACCTTAGGGACCACCAGACGTCTGGCGTTTTGTGAGCGCAACGCTCGACTTGGTTGATACGACACTAACGTGTCTTGGAGATAAGAAGGAGCCAAGCCATTTATGGCTTTATATGTTAAGAGAAGGATTTTAAACTTTATTCTGTACTCCACAGGGAGCCAGTGGAGTTTTTAACACCGGAGTTATGTGCTCCCTCCTTTTGGTACCTGTTAAGATCCTAGCTGCTGTATTCTGAACGAGCTGGAAGCTCTTCAAAGACGCTTTAGGGCACGCTGCCAGTAAAGCGTTACAGTAGTCAAGCCTTGAGGTGACAAACGCGTGAATGAGTTTTTCCGCGTCACTTTTAGGAAGGAAATTCCTAATTTTAGCGATGTTCCGTAAGTGGAAGTACGCCGTTTTAGTTGCTTGGCTTATATAAGCCTTGAAGGAGAGTTCTTGGTCAAAAATGACTCCAAGATTCCTCACAGTGTTACTGGGTATAATACTGACATTATCAGAGTAATTATCTGGTTAGTGAGGGAGTCACGCAGGCGCTTCGGACCGAGTAGGATCACTTCTGTCTTCTCCGGGTTGAGAAGTAGGAAGTTAAGAGTCATCCACATTTTAAGGTCCTTTATGCAGCACTGAGCTTTTCTAGCTGATCTGTCTGATTTGGCTTCATCGACAGATAAAGCTGTGTATCATCTGCAGCAGTGGAAATTAATTCCATGCTTTTTAATAATGTTTCCTAACGGCAGCATGTAGAGAGTAAAAAGAATCGGTCCGAGTACCGAACCCTGCGGCACACCGAATTCTACTCCAGAATAAGGTGACGAGTTCTGATTTACGTTCACTAAGTGATACCGATCTGATAAATAGGATTTAAACCAGCCAAGGGCTGTTCCTCTAAGACCTATATCACATTCTAGCCTCTGCAGTAGAATGCTGTGGTCTATTGTGTCAAATGCAGCACTAAGGTCCAGTAGGACCAGCACTGACACTTGTCCATTATCAGCAGCTAGTAGTAAGTCATTTGTGACTTTGACTAGTGCCGTTTCAGTGCTATGATGAGCTCTGAATCCTGATTGAAAGACTTCAAACAGCAACGACCCTCAGCAGGGTCGTTAGATCTGCTCCCTTCTACATCAAGCAGACCTTAGATTAGTTTGTGTAAGCTCTCAGTCGTACAGGGATTAGTCAAAGCAAAGGAAGGTTTCTCACCCATCATCTGTACTTCTTAGCAAGTTTTCCCGACGTTTCGTCCTCAACCTAGCGGACTTCTTCAGGGAATGAATTCTCGGACCGCGCGTTGGAGATTTATAACCTATGGGTGTGGTTAGCCACACCCTAATCCTGATACTAACTCGTAAACAATCTAAGGTCTGCTTGATGTAGAAGGGAGCAGGTCTAACGACCCTGCTGAGGCTAACGACCCTAACTCCTTAGCATGTCACAGACCTATTGTCTGCTGGGATCATCAAGTGGAGTGCAGGTCTCACCCCTCCTAACTCCTTAGCATGTCACTGACCTATTGTCTGCTGGGATGCTCAAGTGGAGTGCAGGTTTCACCCCTCCTAACTCATTAGCATGTCACTGACCTTGTCCCAAGTTAGGGCGTTGTTTTTAGGATGTCGTCATAGATGCGAGGCAAAACAAATCTTAACCCTCCTCCTCTGTAAAGAGAAGGTTTTTGTTTCCTCACAAAAATGGCTTCTTTCACTCCTCTCTCTAGACTCTACAGAAACGACTTTACCAACATCGTAGAGAAAACTCTAGTGGGCCACAGTCGGCTGTTCATCTCCACCTCAAGGCCTCCAACCACACGGTGGATGACACAGAGGTTAAAATTCTGGCTCGGGAGAAGAATTGGTTTGAGAGAGGGGTGAAAGAAGCCATTTTTGTGAGGAAACAAAAACCTTCTCTTAACAGAGGAGGAGGGTTAAGATTTGTTTTGCCTCGCATCTATGACGACATCCTAAAAACAACGCCCTAACTTGGGACAAGGTCAGTGACATGCTAATGAGGTCAGTGACATGCTAATGAGTTAGGAGGGGTGAGACCTGCACTCCACTTGAGCATCCCAGCAGACAATAGGTCAGTGACATGCTAAGGAGTTAGGGTCGTTAGCCTCAGCAGGGTCGTTAGACCTGCTCCCTTCTACATCAAGCAGACCTTAGATTGTTTATGAGTTAGTATCAGGATTAGGGTGTGGCTGACCACACCCATAGGTTATAAATCTCCAACGTGCGGTCCGAGAATTCATTCCCTGAAGAAGTCCGCTAGTTTGAGGACAAAACGTCGGGAAAACTTGCTAAGAAGTACAGATGATGGGTGAGAAACCTTCCTTTGCTTTGACTAATCCCTGTACGACTGAGAGCTTACACAAACCAATTCAAACATATTATTTTCCTGCAGGTGGCAGCAAAGCTGCTCAGCTATAAGCTTTTCCAGGATTTTAGATATAAAAGTGAGGTTTGAGATCGGTCTGTAGTTTGTAAGTATTTCTGGGTCCAGGTTTGTTTTCTTCAGAAGGGGTTTGATTACCGCGGTTTTAAAAGCTTGTGGGACATAGCCACATTGTATGGATGCGTTTATTATATTTACGATAGGCTCAATTATCAAAGGAAGTATGTCTTTGAAGAGCCTTTTGAGGATGTGACCACAGAGATCACCTCTGCTTGGCTCACAGCCATGAATTTATCGAGGCCCACTGAAGAGTCTAAGTGGGAAGTCACGTATGCCGCTTCAGCCTGTCCACTACCAACAGCAGGAGCTTATAAGAGCTCGGTTTAAGAATCTGAATTCATATAGAACCTTCAGCAGAGCACACCTCAGGTCTCTCTGGTCTCTCCCTGGTCTCTCTCTGGTCTCTCTCTCTGATCTCTCTCTCTGATCTCTCTCTGGTCTCTCTCTCTGGTCTGTCTCTGGTCTCTCTCTGGTCTGTCTCTGGTCTCTCTCTGGTCTCTCTCTCTGGTCTCTCTCTGGTCTCTCTCTGGTCTCTCTCTCTGGTCTCTCTCTCTGGTCTCTCTCTGGTCTCTCTCTCTCTGGTCTGTCTCTGGTCTCTATCTCTGGTCTCTCTCTGGTCTCTCTCTCTGGTCTCTCTCTCTGGTCTCTCTCTGGTCTCTCTCTGGTCTCACAGTCCTCTTTCAGAGTGATGTTGCTGAATACACTGAGTTAAGTTTGTTTTGGAGCGTGGCTTGGGTTAATGGTTAATCCTCTGTTGTTTCTGTGCTTATGCAGTCACAAGCGTACATCACTGACAATCATTACTGAGACATGTATTTGTGTTTACATTACATAATACAGCAGGCATGTCCAAACTCAGGCCCACGAGCCAAATGCGGTCCCACAAATCTCCCAAAATAACATTATTGCTTGTTTCTACAGTTCCATCCTTTATAAACCAATAACAAACAGTTTATTAAGCTGCTTTGCCAAACTACTCTCCCGGTTGTCCACGTGGATCTTTTTGGTCATACTTTAGTTTAGGTCACTTTGCCTGTCCCATTGGCAAATCTTGTCAAATTAAGATTTTTGACTTTTCGTCACTTTTTGCAGTGTATTTCAATATGCCTCCATCTTACTGTGAAAATATTTTACACCCTTGTTATGCAAACATAAAGTGAATACATTTGTCTTTTTAGGTGGAAGAGAAAAATGCAGATCCTGAGACGATGCTTCTGTCCTTCCTCAGAGACAGTTGTATCCTTTACATTATTGTCGTTTCCCAAAGAGACACCAGGGGCCTCCAACCTCTTCAAATGAAGTGAAGAAAAAGACTAAGTCTGGGATTGTGTCTTTAATTCAGACAGAAGACATGTTTTATTGTCGATGGTAGAGACAGGCACGGACAAAGATGTTACAGTGCTATTATACAGCGGAGGAGCTTTAGCCACGGTGCCAGTAGCTTTGGCCTTCAGACATCAAAACATGCAGTGGAAAATACTGCCTTGAGCATTGTTAGAATGATGAGATAGAACTTTAACCACAGTTGCTTCAAAGTGTCATGAAATTCTCTAAAGAAGGTTTGATAAAACCAAAATAGCAGATGCTGCTTTTAGCTGTCCTCATACAATCTATTCATCAATTTATAATATAACAAAACATTTATGGTTTGAACATAAATGTCATGACCCAAAAGTGAATCATTCAGGACCATGTGTTAAATTTGTGATTATAGACCAACTACATGTATATGCTTTGAGTACACATATATATGCTTTGAGCATATAATATTTTGCTTTGAGCGCTGTATATAGTCTTTGAGCGCTAAGCTTTGAGCGGTCTACGTATGGTCCGGAGCGACCCGGAGCGGAGTTGCCGGTAACAAATGGTGAGAGGGCTGCTACAGAGCCAGTGCGCGCTGTGCCGATGCTTTGAGTGGTATAAAATACTGATAAACTGTGCAAAATCCCGAGGTGTGGAGCAATGGGGCTGTAGGCAGTGAATAAATGACCGGGAGCCGTGTCAATAGCTTGGAATACTGTTTGAGCGCTGTTTGAGCGCTGGTCTCTGTGACGTCAGGACAGAGCGCTGTTTTGGTCACAACCCTCTCTCGCTGTTTGAGCGCTGGTCTCTGTGACGTCAGGACAGAGCGCTGTTTTGGTCACAACCCTCTCTCGCTGTTTGAGCGCTGGTCTCTGTGACGTCAGGACAGAGCGCTGTTTTGGTCACAACCCTCTCTCGCTGTTTGAGCGCTGGTCTCTGTGACGTCAGGACAGAGCGCTGTTTTGGTCACAACCCCCTCTCCGTTCTAGGGAGAGAAATAAAAATATATTAGCAATATACACTCCCAGGGTTAGGACCAAGCAGCCTGGCTGTAATCCCCCACCTGGTACACTTACCAGAAGGGGCACTGCCACTACCATGGGGTGCATCTGGATGAATGGTTGAAGGTTCTCCGCTTGAAGTTTCTTTTAGCCCGTCCGTTTGTGAGAGGATCTCTACTGCTCTCCCTGTCGCACAGAAAATAAAAATACAAGTGGCCTTTAGGGGAAAAAAATCATACATATTTTAATAATATCAAGAATTACCTTCAGGCTCAATTTGTATCTGGTCGAGGCTCTTTCCTTCGAATTCCGTCACTCTTCCCTGCTCCATGGCCATCAACACTTTGCTGATTTTGGCCAGCTCCAGTGTCCCCTCTGGTAGTCTGTAATATTGCCTGTGGATGCGAATGTCATGGCCGAGGAAGTTGGCAAGTATGTCCATCTCATTCTCTTTCATATTGAGAACGTAACTGTATGTGCTTTCAAGTTTGGTTGAGGATAGCATCTCTGTGCACCGCACCACATTCTTTGGCTACCTGCTAGGGAGTCTGATCCCCTGATGTGGGTGTCTGCGCCCGGCGGGAAAAGAAGTATGGGTTATGAGGATGGAGCCCTTCTGTTCTCCACCAGCACCTCCATCGAAGCATCATTTCAGGAGTCAAAAGAACCGGCACTTTCCGACTTCTTTTCCCTTTCATTTCAATGCGTTGAAAATGCTGACACAGCTTTTTCTCAAGTTGGGACAGTCCCAGAGCAATGTCAGAATGGATCCCAGTCTTACTTCTTAAGGTAAAGGCTGTCAGTGGCATCTTTGAAACCTCACCTTCCCTTCTTCGATTGAAAATGATGACCTCACAAAGAGTCAAAACTGCCAGTTTAGACCAATGCTTAGACGTTGGCTCACTTATTAGGGTTTGCACATATTCAGGTCGACATACCTCAATATGTGCATGCATGGCTCTAACGTCCTCAGTCAGAGGGAGCAGGTCCGGAGTGTTCCACTTGGCTTGCCGGAGGGTCTGTAGGGCAGCAGAAGAAACACAGACGTCCCACCTCTTCTCAAAAAGCAGCCGGCTTCGTTGGAGGTTTTTAATAAATAGTTCATCAACACAATGCTCCATTTTTGAGTCACATTCAAGAATATCTGCTAGCTTTCTGAGGCTATGGCCGAGTTTGAGGGCCAAGGATGGAGTCTTGTATTGATTTGTTTCCTCATCATATCCAGCCACAGACCTGACTGCATCAATCACATGGTTAAAGTTGGAAGGAATAAAGAAATCCTTAATTGTTTTAAGTTTCCCTGCGGTTTTTGCTTCGTTAATTAACCTACCGACTTCTCTCATTTTCTGCCTAATGTAATCATGCTTAGTCTTATCATGCCCGTGTTTTAAGTACAGGTGCTCTCCGAGTCTCAGAATCCCCTTTTCTGCTTTGACAACACCCGTGACCTCATCCTGATGCATTGCCGAAATTAAAGACCACAGCTTTTTGCTGATGCCCTCCGGTACAGGCTGGGCTAGGGAGCAGAGGGACTGGACCCTACTTCTAGCCTGTTTAGCCTGGGCATGGCATCTTTCTGTGAAAGCCGGCACCTGGCCACATGCCTCCACAGCGACTTTCGCTTAAGCAATGCCCCACAGTCTATACAGTGCAAAAACTCACTGGATTTAACTGGGCAATTTGGCTGTTTAGCTGGGACTAAAGTTCCAATGCCGGCCTTTAAAACCTCAAAATTGTGCTCACGGTTTCCACTATTCCTGATCAAATCAAACTGAAGTTTACGTGCTTTAGATTTCACAGGTAGAGCCAATGCTCTGGCTACGTCACTTTCATTTCCATGTTTTCTAGTCAAATGACGGGACATTTTGTGGCAGGACATTGAACAGTAGAGGCAGAAGTGTCTCTTGCTGTAAACTCGCCCCCCATTTTTCTTCTTTTGCAGCTGCATGATAACAATCTTATTTGCCTTTGGTTCGTCACTTTCCGAGTTAGTGAAGAAAAGTGTTTTTTGATTTTTCTTTTTCCATACTTTTTTACAGGTTTCTTCTTGACAGTTAAATCGTCAGAATCTGAGTCGACTTCTGGGACTCTTGACTAAGCTGCACAAACAACAAATCCATTCTATATAACAATTTGAAGTCATGACTTGTAGCAGCACTTACCAGTGGTTTGTAAGCGTGCGCTTCAGTGTGCTGGATTGGCTGCAGCCTAATGAACCACACACTTGCACCTAGCCTGACACTGTTGTGCTGCTCCATGATTGGCTCCAGCCTCTGTTGTGCTGCTCCATGATGGCTGTGCTGCTCCATGATTGGCTCCAGCCTGCTGGACTGAAATTGCCCCAGTGTGCATATCCCGCAACCCACCACCAGGGTTCCGACACATAACCACACTTTTTTCAGGAAAGTAAACCTCCAGGGGTCCTTTCCATATTTTTACAGAGACTGCATAAGGACCGTTAGAAAAGCATTACCCATTGATTATTAAGCTTGGACCAGTGGGGTCCGGTGTTCGGGCCCCACCACGTAAAACCAGTCCCCATGACGTGAGTGGAATCTCAGGTTATGGAACCCACCAGGAGTTGAAAACAAGTGCACTCTCACACACACACACACACACACACACTCACTCACACACACACACACACACACACACACACAGACACACACACACACACAGACACTCACACACACACACACACACAGACACACACACACACAGACACACACACACACACACACACACACACACACACACACACACACACACACACACACACACACACACACACACTAACCTCTCTGTCTGTGAAGGACGCCATCAAACACAGCTCCTACTTTGAACCCCAGAGGACGATCGGGAGAGGACACGTGGACGCCATGATGGAGACGGCAGAACACGTGCTCCAGGGTGAGACCCAGTATGACCCAGTATGACCCGGTGAGACCCAGTATGACTCTGTATGACCCAGTATGACCCAGTATGACCCTGTATGACCCTGTATAACCAAGTATGACCCAGTATGACCCAGTGAGACCCAGTGAGACCCAGCGAGACCCAGTTTGGCCTGGTGTGGTTGGGTCCGGTACAGTTTGGCCTGGTTGTGTCCAGATGAGATGTACATGGGAGGTCAGGAGCACTTCTACCTGGAGACTCAGGGGCTGGTGGCGGAGCCTCGAGGAGAGAGCGGTGAGATGGACCTGTACGTGGGCACTCAGCACGCAGCCTTCACTCAGGTAACTCTGCTCTCTCCTCCTCTTCTCCTCTTTCTTCTTATTCTCTCCTCTCCCCTCATCTCCTCCTCTCATCTCCTCCTCCTCCTCCTCCTCTCCTCCTCCTGCAGGAGTTGGTGAGCCAGGCCCTGGGCGTCTGCTCCAATAAGATCACGGTCCATGTGAAGCGTCTTGGAGGAGGCTTCGGGGGGAAAGTGATGAAGATCGCGGCGCTGTCGGCCATCACCGCCGTGGCCGCTCACAGGTGAGGACACGGCGGGAGTATTTATGTGTGATTTTAATGTTTCTTTTTGTTTTGTTTAGCACTTTGAGTTTCCGTGTATAACCTTTGTTAGCGTCGTCATGTCAGATATAGTGCAAATACTCTGCTGGTTGTTTGGTCTGAATCGGAGCTTGCGGTCTCCATGTTGGATGTGTCCAAACAGAGAGATGGAGTCTGACCCAAAGTGCTGTAAAGTTCATTAAAGTGCTGTAAAGTGCTGTGTGTGTCTCAGGACGGGGAGAGCTGTGCGCTGCTGTCTGGACCGAGGAGACGACATGCTCATCACCAGCGGGAGGCATCCTTTTCTGGGGAAGTACAAGGTGCGTCACTTTAGGAACCACTTTATTTGTGGCTGCAGCACTTGGTCCAAATGTTTAACCTCTGCATGAGTCTTTTATACTGACAGGAACAGATCTCCCTGGTCTCTCTCTGGTCTCTCTCTGGTCTCTCTCTGGTCTCTCTCTGGTCTCTCTCTGGTCTCTCTCTGGTCTCTCTCTGGTCTCTCTCTGGTCTCTCTCTGGTTTCTCTCTGGTTTCTCTCTCTGGTCTCTCTCTGGTCTCTCCCTGGTCTCTCTCTGGTCTCTCTCTGGTCTCCTCTCTGGTCTCTCTCTGGTTTCTCTCTGGTCTCTCTCTGGTCTCTCTCTGGTCTCTCTCTCTGGTCTCTCTCTCTGGTCTCTCTCTCTGGTCTCTCTCTCTGGTCTCTCTCTGGTCTCTCTCTGGTCTCTCTCTCTGGTCTCTCTCTGGTCTATCCCTGGTCTCTCTCTGGTCTCTCTCTGGTCTCTCTCTGGTTTCTCTCTGGTTTCTCTCTCTCTGGTCTCTCTCTGGTCTCTCCCTGGTCT